GCACTGTCATCATACATCACCCGGACAGACAACAGGCACCGCCACACGCACACGCCGGGTCCTAACGAAGGGCTGACACCTCCCCGGGGACTGACTGAGCCCGTGGGTTGGCCAAGCTGGCCCACATGGACAAGGAGGCTGCTGAGCAGGTTTTTTAAAAATATATTTTTACTGATTGCAGAGAGGAAGGAAGAGGGAGAGAGAGAGAGGCATCAATGATGAGAGAGAATCATTGATTGGCTGCCTCCTGCACACCCCACCCTGGGGCTTGAGCACGAAACCAAAGCATAGTCCCTGACCGGGAATCGAACTATGACCTCCTGGTTCATAGGCGAATGCTCACCCACTGAGCCACACCGGCCAGCCCCACAGAGCTGTTTAGAATAGAGATTCCGAGGAGCAGCCGGCACCCCAATCCTGGTGGCATTGCTGGCCGACTCGCGGGCGGTCCTCCCGTCTCTAAGCCTTCAGCAGGCTGAGGACAGCAGAACCCACTTTGCCGGGAGCACTCACAGGTCGAGCAGAGCGTGCGTATCAGGCTGGCGGCCACGCCGGGTACTTTGCCGGCGGTGAGTACCAGTTGCCGTAATCACATTAATGAGATCACGTGACGCTCCTCCAGCCTTCACCGGGAGGGCCCCTCCCCGCCTCCTTGCCCCCCAGACGTGTCACCCTCAGAGGCGGAGTCCATCCCCACAAAGCTACAGACTCGCCCCCACTTCCGACTCTCACTCAGCAAGGACCCGCCTCACACTCACTCTCACCCGGCAGAGGGGCACCCGGTCGGAGCGGGGCCTCGCCCAAGGTCACAGCCAGACGGGAGCAGAGATGGGGCCTCAGGCTGGCCAGAGGCAGCGCCCAGGACGTGGGGGAGGAGGGGGAGCCCTGCCATAACCCCCTGCATCCCCCCAGGGGTATTTCACAGAGCAGGCTGGGCTAAGGGCCTCCAGCCTCCCTTTCACGGGGTGGGATAGCGGGTGGGGTGGCGGGGGGGCCTCTGAGCCCCTCCTCTGCAGACGCCCCGGGGCTGCTGGGCCCTGGCTCAGCCCAGGGCTCCATCCCCAGGAACCAGAGCCTGGTCCCTACACAACCACCAGCTCCTGACCTTCGTGGCCTTGGACAGGCAGAGGGCTGCTCCCCGCCCCTGACAAGGTTGAGACCCGCCCAAGGGCACACAGCAGGGGCCGGAGCAGGCCTCTGGGGCTTCTCCCGAGCACAGCGTCCAGCGAGGTCTGGGGAGGACCCGCTCCGTTTTGGCGGACAGGCCGGGCGGGCTCAGAAGCCCCGGGGGCTGGCAAGAATCAGGGTTCAGTTCCCCAGAACCTCTGCTCTCCTCCTGCCTCCTCAGAGCGGACAGGCCGGCCGGGGGAGGATGCAGACCCTGGAGCCCCAGGTCGGGGCCCAGTCCCCACTCGCTTCTGCTTCCTGGGAGACATCAGGGGGTCCCTTAGCCGCCCCACCCCAGTGTCTTCATCTACAGCGCAGAGCTGAGAGCCCCCGGGGTGGCCTGTGGGTTACGGGACATGGTGAGCCACCGCAGGGGCCCGGCCTGCAGGAGACGGTGCGTTATGGCGGTTATCCGAATGAAAATGAGGACGTGGGGAGGGGCGTCCCCACGGCCCCATCAAGGAGAGGGACTCCGCCTCGCGCGGAGGAGATGGCAGTCCACAGTCCAGCCCCGGCTGAGAGAGCACGTGAGCCGCCAGCCTCTGCAGCCTGGCCTCCGGGCCTTGGGTCCTTTCCATTCAGATCCAGGATCCTGTGCCATCCTCCCAGGTGCCTGCTGGCCCACCGCCCCTGCCGTGCGAACCAGCAGCATGGGGCCCAGAGGGGCAAGGCCTGGGGTCCGCACGGGAAGGGTCGGGGCCAGAGAGGCTGGGCGGGCATCGGAACGAGGAGGCAGGAAGAGGAACTGGGAGGCATTTCCGAGCCAGGCGCTTTGGCTTGGGGGGGGGGGGGGGGTGAAGGGCAGCCGGAAAGCAGGGGTTCTGGGATTGCGGGTGATGGCACGGCCGGAAGGGACGGCTCTGAAATTCAGGAATGCTGGATCCGGGGTGAGGCGAGCGAGGCCCTGTCCCAGGGTACCATTAAAGGGGGACACCCAGACACCCTCGTAATCAGGATAAAGACCACAGTAATGTGATATTTCTGGAAATCAAGCAGCCAACTACCCTCCACGCTGGGTGGGCCATCTGCTTTTGTAAGCTTCCTTGGACCCAGGGCCAGGATGAGGGCGAGGCGTGGGGGACGGGGGGGTGTGTGTGTGCGCGAGTGCAGGGTTGGATCCTGTCTTTGTTCAAACTTGTGTTTATGACGGGCGTGTTGCACTGTTGTCCATGTTTAAATACTGCATTGAACTGTCCTCTGCTTGATGCCTGAGCTCTGAGACACGTCCTTAAGTGTTCCACCCAAGGCAAGGCCTCCTGGCCCACCTGGCCTTGTGCTGTGCGGCGTGAGGCGCGGGGTCAGGGTGGGCGGAGCACTGGGTGAGCATTGAAAGCTGCCCCAGACCTGCAGCTCCGCGTCCAATGGGGGCTTTTGGGACTGGGCCAGGTGGCCGTTGGGGCTGCTCGGAGGCACCTGGGAGTTGGAGGCAGGCAGCACCCAATCTAAGAGCCAGACCTGGGGCGACCCGGTGCCTTCTCCCCCCTTTCCCCGGGCCTCGGTTTTTCCATTTGAGCAATGGGCATTACCCAGCACAGAGCTCAGGCCAGAGGGACAGGCGGGGAGCAGGGGACCAGGCCAGGGGTGTCCACCAGCTGCCACGCTGGGAAGCCCACCAGGCGCGTCTGGTCCCAGCCCCCACCCAGCGCCTGACATTGGTGAAGGACGGGAAATAAGTCACATTTCCACGTAATACTTTAACAGTTCAAACTGGCAGACAGACTCTGGTCCCCAGGCTGAGTGTCCATTTTTAAAAAGTTTCCCTGGAACCAATTGCTTGGGCTCAAATCTTTTTTTTTTTTTTTAATAAACTTTTTTTTTAATTGATTTTTTACAGAGAGGAAGGGAGAGAGATAGAGAGCTAGAAACATCGATCAGAGAGAAACATCGACCAGCTGCCTCCTGCACATTCCCTACTGTGCATGCCCTTGACCGGAATCGAACCTGGGACCCTTCAGTCCGCAGACCAACGCTCTATCCACTGAGCTAAACCGGTTTCGGCTGGGCTCAAATCTTGGTTCCAACCCTCCTTGTGCATTTTGTGCGGATTCTCTGGCTTTTCTCAGCCTCGGTTTCCTCGTCTGTGACACGGAGAGAAGAGCAATGCCTTGGTCACAGGCTCCCGCTGCGATGGGCCTGGCACTCGGGGCCTAAGTCACAGCCACGATCTCGCGGTCACGGGGGGCTGATGTCGGAGCTGGTGGTGATTAGGACCCTTAGCCAGACAGCAGGCACGCCCGGGCGGCAGGGACCCTCACGCAGCTGGTGCTGAGCCCGCGGGCGCCAAGCGTGCCAGGCTGTTCTAGGCGCGTCTCACCTCCTGCCTCCCTGACGCTCACAGCAGTGCCTCTCCTTGTTAGCCGGGAACTAATAGCCCCACTTTTCAGCTGAGGAAACTGAGGCACACCCCCAGGCGGCGGAGTAGCCACTGACAGAGTCTGGGTCCTTCGCCCAGGGCAGTGGCCGGCAAACCGCGGCCAGTGGGTCAGACCACCGTCCCGATTCGCCAAGGCTGCGGGTACGATCCCCAGTCAGGCCACCTAGGAGAATCAAGCAGTGAATGCATAAGTGAGACAACAACTTGATGTTTCTCTCTCCCTCGCTCCCCCTCCCGCCCCCCCCCCCTCTCATCAATAAATAAATTTAAAAAACAGTTGTTTTAAAGAGAGAGATCTGGGAGATCTTGTTCCCCTTGCTGCCCCCATTCAGCTGGAGCCCAGGAACAGAATGAGGAGGCGGAGGGGCCTCCCACACCCCATCTGGGGCCAGACCCCGCGTCTCCGGGAGCCGAATCCCTTGCCCCTGCTGCCTGCTCGACTGCAGATCCTCTGCCACCGGCGAGGGCCCAGGCCCAGCACAGCCTCCCTGCTGCCCTGCCTCCTCCAGGGCCTGACGCAGCTCCAAACACCTCTCTCTCCCTCTCTCTCTCTCTCTCTCTCTCTCCTTCTTCTCCCCCCCCCCCCCAGATACACATTCACACAGGCCCCCTCTGCTCCCATCTCTTCCCCCTTATCTTCTCGGGAGCCCTCCCCTGCCGTCTCTTGTCTCCTTATTTGACGGAATTATCCCCCTGGAGCTCCACGGGCTCAAAGAGAGAGAGAGAGAGAGAAGTGGGTTTTAATCTCCCCCCTCTCCCCCCGTCACCCTGACCAGGCCTGGCCGTGGCCACGGCTGCCACCTCAGTGACCTGCGGGTCCTAAGAGACCTTCCCCCGGAGACGGACGACAGGGAAATTAGATAATCAGGGACGTGCTGAGCGCTGTGTCTGGCGCGCAGCGACCGCTCGGTACATGAGGGCTTTGATTGGGTTAGAGAAATGCTCAGGGAACGTGGCAGTGCTGTCTGCAGGGCGCGTACCCCAGCCCGAGGTCAGCTCGGCCGGAACTGGCAGCATTTCCCAGCGCGGAGAACACCGTGGCTCCAGCCTGGATGGGGAGCTGGGATGAAGTCTCAGATCCCTGGATTTCAAAGCCGCCCCCACCCCCAACCCATCTGTGGCTGGGCGTGCTGGGAGTGTGTGTTATCATGACAGTGTGTGCGTGCGTGTGCGTGTGTGTGCGCACGCGTGCATGTGTGTGTGTGTGTGTGTGTGTGTGTGTGTGTGTGTGTGTGTGTGGTGTGGCCGCCAGAGCAGGAAGGGCCCAGCCCACCCAGGAGGGTGCTGGAGGCAGTGGTGCTGTCTGGCCCGAAGTCCTGGCAGGGTGGGGCCAGGCAGTGGGTGGTGTCCAGCCCCCCAACTGAAGCCCACGTCCTCTCTCCCCAGGCGATGACCTCCCGCTGAGGAAGCCGCCGAGTGACCAGAGGAAGGGGCTGCCCGCTCCGCCCCGCCGGCCGCCATGAACACCTCGGCCCCTCCCGCCGTCAGCCCCAACATCACCGTCCTGGCGCCCGGCAAGGGCCCCTGGCAAGTGGCCTTCATCGGCATCACCACGGGCCTCCTGTCCCTGGCCACCGTGACGGGCAACCTGCTGGTGCTCATCTCCTTCAAGGTCAACACCGAGCTCAAGACCGTCAACAACTACTTCCTGCTCAGCCTGGCCTGCGCCGACCTCATCATCGGCGCCATCTCCATGAACCTCTACACCACGTACCTGCTCATGGGCCACTGGGCCCTGGGCACGCTGGCCTGCGACCTCTGGCTGGCCCTGGACTACGTGGCCAGCAACGCCTCCGTCATGAACCTGCTGCTCATCAGCTTCGACCGCTACTTCTCGGTGACCCGGCCCCTGAGCTACCGCGCCAAGCGCACGCCGCGCCGGGCGGCCATCATGATCGGCCTGGCCTGGGTGGTGTCCTTCGTGCTGTGGGCGCCCGCCATCCTCTTCTGGCAGTACCTGGTGGGCGAGCGGACCGTGCGGGCCGGCCAGTGCTACATCCAGTTCCTCTCCCAGCCCATCATCACCTTCGGCACCGCCATGGCCGCCTTCTACCTCCCGGTCACCGTCATGTGCATCCTCTACTGGCGCATCTACCGGGAGACGGAGAACCGGGCCCGGGAGCTGGCCGCCCTGCAGGGCTCCGAGACGCCGGGCAAGGGCGGCGGCAGCAGCAGCAGCTCGGAGCGGTCCCAGCCGGGGGCCCAGGGCGCGGCGGCGGCCGACACCCCTCGGGGGCGCTGCTGCGGCTGCTGCCGGGCCCCCAAGCTGCTGCAGACCTACAGCTGGAAGGAGGAGGAGGAGGAGGACGAGGGCTCCATGGAGTCCCTCACGTCCTCCGAGGGCGAGGAGCCGGGCCCCGAGGTAGCCATCAAGATGCCCATGGTGGACCCCGAGGCGCAGGCCCCCGCCAAGCAGCCCCCCAAGAGCTCCCCGAACACGGTCAAGCGGCCGACGACGACGACGACGACGACGACGCGGAAGGGCCGGGAGCGCGCGGGCCGGAGCCAGAAGCCGCGCGGGAAGGAGCAGCTGGCCAAGCGGAAGACCTTCTCGCTGGTCAAGGAGAAGAAGGCGGCGCGGACCCTGAGCGCCATCCTGCTGGCCTTCATCCTCACCTGGACGCCGTACAACATCATGGTGCTGGTGTCCACCTTCTGCCGGGACTGCGTGCCGGGGACGCTGTGGGAGCTGGGCTACTGGCTCTGCTACGTCAACAGCACGGTCAACCCCATGTGCTACGCGCTCTGCAACAAGGCCTTCCGGGACACCTTCCGCCTGCTGCTTCTCTGCCGCTGGGACAAGCGGCGCTGGCGCAAGATCCCCAAGCGCCCCGGCTCCGTGCACCGCACCCCCTCCCACCAGTGCTGACGCCCAGCCCGCGCCCTCCGCCCCGTCCCGGCCCCCGGCCCCGGAGAAGGGGCTGTGACCTCAGACCCGGGCCCTGCTCCGCCCCTGCAGGCCGCCCAGGCCCCGAGGTCACCTTCCCGGGCGGCCCGAGAGACCCTGCCAACTCCGCGCTGCCATTCCCAGGCGGGAGCGACCCGGGGAACTGGTTTTTCTGTCCCCGGCAGGCCGGCTGGCCGGATGGGAACGGGCTCTTCACCAGGAAGAAGCCAGGAGGAGGATCCGGGCCTGGATTCCTTGTTTGCATTTGGGCAGGAAGTCTGCCTGGAGCCAGCAGGGCGGGCCAGCAGAGAGGGTTACCTCGGCCCTCAGCCCCGGCCCCCCTGGCCGGCCTGGATTGCAGGGAGAAGGGGGGGAATGGCGCCCTCTGTGGCCACAGCTGGGAACTGGCACCAAACACGGAGAGAAAAGCTTGGCTCAGAGGGACCAGCCCCCTGCCCCTCGGCAGGCACAGCCTGCTCTGCTGGGCCCCAGGCTCGTTCTCCGAGAACCCCAGCCTCCCGACCTGTGTCCGCAGAGCGCCCCCGTGGGGCCCCCTCCAGGCAAACGTCCCCGCACCAGCAGGACAGCGGCCCCAGAGGGCACCCGCTCAGCCAGTCGCACGTCGAGTCCCCAGGCAGCAGCAGCAGCAGGACCGGACGCCTGGTGTCCACGAGGCCATTTCCTGGGGAATGAGGGCAGGGTGCCTGCTGCCCAGCCTCATGCCCACACCCCCCGCCCCAGAGAAACCCCAGGTCCCTCCCGGCCCTCAGCCGCCATGCACATCTAGCCGGCCTCCCGCATGCTGCCTGCCTCCCGCCCGCCCCACCCGGCCGGCCCGGCCCCCGGGTCCTCTCCTGTGAGCCCCCGTCCCACCCACGCATGGCCGCCCAGCCACCCTCACCCACAGGCCCGCCTGGCCCCACGTGTTCTCTCCTTCCATCTCAGCAACGCTGGGTCCGAATAAAGCCTCCATCCCCAAGGATGCTGAGTCCTTCCTCCCTGCGTTGGGCCAGGGCAGGATGGGGGGCGGGGAAGTACCCCGGGATGTGCCCCCGAAGGTCAGCCCTGAGGGGCTGGGCCTACTGGCACCTGTGGTCCCGCACCAGGTCCCGCTCCGGCGAGCGGGCTGTATGGCAGGCCTGGCTCCTGGTGGAGGAAGGCCGGACCGAGGAGGCTGGCCCTGCCCGCGGCCCGCACACCCCCTCCCAGCTTTGCCATCCGCCGTCCTCTGGGGCCTGTCACACCCAGGCCGGACACGGCTGCTCCCAGCCCCATCGCAGACGGGGAGACGCAGGCCGGGGGTCCAGGGGGCCGTTCAGGGTCACCCCACAAAGCACAGCAGCCCCGGCAGTACCCTTCCCCGGTGTGCTTATGGCCGGAGGTCCAGAGACCGCCCCGAAGGCCGGCGACTCAGGAGAAGGACCCAGAACCGGCGAGGCGGTGACACCGCGGTTATAGTTTATTACGGCGAACGCACACAAAGCCACGGAGCGGAGGCCAGGGAGCCGGGCAGCTTCAGGGCGTCCCGGGCAGCGCCCACCTCCCCAGCAGTGGTGTGGTGACCCCAGGGGAACGGAATGGGGAGCTCCCCGAGCAGGCTTTTCCTCCCGGGCTGCTCTGCTGGTGTAGGCGTGTCAGCCCCACCGCCTCGGCCTCCAGCCCCTCCAGAGGCTGAGCTGCACAAGTGGCCGGGAGCCTCTGTGCCCCCCGTGGCCCCAGGCGGGAGGTCAGGGCGCGCTCCCGGCAGGCAGGCCCCGCTGTTGGGACGTGCGGGTTGGAGAGCCGGGCCTGTGGTGGCCCCCGGAGCCCAGGGGAACTGGTCGGATCTGTGCTCTCCGGGTCGCCCGAGATGGACTGAGTCAAACGCCAGGGCAGAGCCCGGCCACGTTTCAGCAAGCCCTCCGGTGAGGAATGCTGGCCCACGGGGCTGGGGGCCAGAAGGGGGAGGTGAGGATTCACCCCCAGAGCGGCCAGGACCCCCAGAATCCTGTGAAAAGGAAGCTTGCAGCACGTGGTCAGGGGCAGCCCATGAAGAGACGGGCAGAGCAGGCTGGCCAGGGACTGTGGTCAGTGACTGCAGGACACAATCCCCTTCCCCTCCCCCAGCCCCGCGTCCTGGGGCCCCTCCCCTGTGACTGCTCCCCTCAGCCCCGAGCCCCTGTTGGAGGCTGGGTCCTGGGAGGCAGGGCCCGGGAGCGAGCAGTGCTGGACAGCAGGGCGCTGGGCTCACACCGCTGGCTCCCCTGGGGACCCCGAGGGGACGGTCAGGGCCGGCACTGCCCCGATCGGGCACAGGTCCTGCCGCCTGCGCCCCCTCCCCACTCCTGAGTCTCATCCTCCATGTCCTCGCTGGGGAGGAGCTGGAGGACGCCGGGGCCTGGGGAGAGCGTCCACGGGCTCCATGTCAGTCCCCGCAGGACCAGGCTCTCCCCGGTGAAGGCCAGGAACCGGCATCGGGTCTGGTGTCAGACACACACCTTCCACATGCCTCCAGCCCAGGCTCTGAGGGTCCAGAGTCCCACCCACACCCCTGACCCTCACCCCACCCCAGCCCGGGAGGAAACGGCCCCGGGGGGAGGAGGATAGGGAGCAGGCCGGGTGCAGGGGCGGGGGTCCAGGCTGCTCCCCAGAGATGCGCCCGCGCCCTGCAAGCCTCTGAGGCAAGAGCCCTGCTGGGCCCAGCCTTGAGTTCAGCCTCGAGTTCAGCCTCGGGTCCAGTCCCAGGTCCAGCGGCCGGAGCTGCAGGAGGCGGCTGAGCCAGACGTGCACCAATCCACCCCCAACGCTGCGCCCCTCCCAGCCCGAGGAGCCCTTGGACCCAGAGATAAGGGCCCTTTGGTGCCTGAGCAGGAAGTTGGGGGAGAATAAGGCGGCTCTGAGGGCCACCCCGTCCCTCGTAGGTTGGAGCAAGTCTGGAGAAGGACACTGTGAGGGCTCTCTGTCCTCTCCTCTGCCCCCCAATCCCTCCCGCCCCCCTGCTCCCCCTTCCTTCTCCCCATTCACAGCCTATCACTTTAGCTCCATCTGCAGGCGATCGAGGGAATAGTCCTCCAGGCCGGCTGCCTCCCAGACAGCGGGGCTGTAGGACCAAGGACAGAGCAGATGGCTTGGCTGCCTGGGCAGGGACCACGGCCATGAAGGGACCCGCTAGCTTGGCCGCTGTTCCAAACCTGCAGGGGCCGCCCTCCTCTCCCCCAGGGGCCAACCTCCCAGACAGAGGAGCGATGGGTGAGGGGAGACCTGGCCCTGGGGGTATCTTCATGGTCAGGTATCTGCCCCCCAGGCATTGGGGACCCTGGGAGCCTGGCTCTGGTTTGACGAAACTGATGCTGAGCCATCCAGAAATCAGGCAGGTACCCGCTCGCCTTTACGGCACAGGGCCTTTGGGATACCAGTGCCCTCACCGGCCTCAGCCCCAACGGGCCTGGGTGCTCCGCGGGGGTGGAAGCGCCCACAAACCACACAAACCACACAAACGGCGTGACTCCAGGGAGTGCCCTGAGAACTTCTCGCTCCTCCCTCCCGGCCCCTGAAACACCCCCCACCCTCTCCGTACACAGGCACCCCATTCACTCCATTCTCACCCAGAAATCTGGGTATCGTCTCAGATTGTGCCTCCTTTCACCCCCTGAGCCCAGTCAGCCTGTCCCCCTGCCGAAGAGTTCCCAAGTTCACCCAGGGTCCCCAACCCCACTCTCTGCCCCCGGCAGGCCTCTCGCCTGAAACGCTAAAGTAAGCCCTTAACTCAGATGTTAGCCAGCTCCGTCTGTGACGGGCCAGCGAGCCAGGGGGTCAACCTGGTGTGCAGGTCCATCCACATCACAGCCTCTGCCGCAGCCCTTCGCTCCGCCACGGTCGCCAAAGGCAGTACGTGAGTGGGTGGCCTGGGCCATGTCCCAATAAAACTTTATTTGCATGTCGCTGAGATTCGGACCTGTATCATCTTCGTGTGTCACAAAATGTATGACTCTTTTGGTTTGCTTTTCAGGCGCTTACACATGCAAAACCCGTTTAAATATGTTTATTGACTTCAGAGAGGAAGGGAGCGGGGGAGAGAGAAACATCAATGATGAGAGAATCACCGATGGGCTGCCTCCTGCACGCCCCTCCCTGGGGACCAGCCTGCACCTGGGCCGGTGCCCTGAGTGAGCAGGGAGTGAAGCTGGCCCTGGCCCTGGGCGCCATCCGAGAGAATCTGGAGCCCGAGGAGGGGCCTGTGGGGACCCCGGGTCACAGCCAGTTGGTCACAAGTCCCTGTGACCCCTGAGATACCTCAGTGGGGCCTCCCGTCCCATCTGGAGCAGCAGAGGAGCGAGCGGCTGGGGAGGGGAAAGACAACGCATTTGGTGTTGGAGTGTTGGCAGTTACAACAGGTCCGCCGCCTCCCAGGGGAGGAACCTGTGGTGGAGGTCTATTCAGGCCAGAGCAAGGAGGCCGCCCCAGGTACCTCCAGGCCCACTCTCGCTCCTGCTGCTCACCTGGCCGCCGGCTGGGGCTCACTCCGCTGAGCATGCAGTGTCCTGCTGCCTCCAGCTCCCGGGCACCCTCCATCCGCCTCCCACAGCCTCAGAGCTCACAGCTCCCAGGCCCTGTCCCTGTGCTCCCCTCTGTCAGCCCCTCCCGCTACAGCCCTGCCATCCCTGAGGAGCCTGAACTGGGCAATCTTCTGTCCACACCAGCATATCCATGTCCCTGGCCCCGGCTTCCTCTGCAACTCCCCTCCCTGGTCAGCCTTCCCTTCCCCCCTCTTCCCCCACATGGGGGCTGGGAAATGGGGCTGCAGGGCTGGGGGGAGCCCGCTCCGGAGGATTGGCCCCAGAACTGTGCCTGGGCCTCAGCGCCCAGGGAGCCATGTCACTCCCCTCGGACTCGTCCTCCGTCCACCACCCTACCTCCACCCTCCACCCCCCACCCCCACCCCCGCCTCACACAGGCGTGCTGGCCCCTGGGCATCCTGTAAAGCAGACAGGACATGGCCGCTG